AATAAATAAATAAATAAATAAATAAATAAATAAATATAAAGATGAGAAACAAGGGAGGGGCTGACTGTACCAACTGTTCTATCCCCAAGAGAAAGCGAGCCCAGCAAATATGCCACATTTTTACCTTAATTGCCTAATCCCCTTTTACAATTTGACACCAGCCACTGGACCACTTTTTTTTTAACTTACTGAAACTCCTGGAGGATGTGATTCACCAAAAGAGAGGTACTCCATGAAACAGGAACCCAAATAAAGTCCAAAAAAGTCAGCTGCTCAGCTGGTATAGATGGTTGACGGAAGAAAAGCAAGTTTCTCCAGGAAGAATGTCCCCCAGACAAAATAACAAAGTATTGGTAGGTTATCTGCTGCTACTAGTCTGCTGAAAGGGTTTATGGGGAGACTACCAGGAGGTGAAGAGACCAGCAGTCAGTTCCCAGAAAGCTAGCTAAATGAAGTGAAATAAGGAACTTTTGTTTGTTTGTTTGTTTGTTTGTTTGTTTGTTTGTTTTGAGACAGGGTTTTGCTGTATAGTTCAGGCTGCCCCTGAACCAACTATATAGCCCAGGCTGGCCTCAAACTTCTGGCAATCCTCCTGCCTCAGCCTCCAGAGTGCTGAGGAACTATTTTTGAAGAGACAAAAAATAAGACAGGAGACTTGATAGTAAACTGCAACACTCAGATGTAAGCTTCCACATAAATAATAATGCAACCACTGAATGAGTAGTGATCTAACTATAATTTATAATATAATCACATTGAAAATAGGTTTGTAGAATGCAATAGAATAAAAAGTCAATAGATAATGCCTGAAACTGTGAGTTAGAAGGTACTGGCACACACATACTATTTAGGAGTACAGAGATGTAAGAAGAAACAGTTAACAAATCAAAACCTTCAGGGAAAAGGGATGACTACAGCTTAGAGGTATAAAATTGTTAATGCTAATTGACTTTTAAAATATGAGCATACCTTTTATAAAATAAAAATTAACTCAGCCAAGAAAGGGTAGGAGGTAAGTAAGTAAATATGTACAGACAAATCTTTCAGGAAGCTTGGCAACAGAAGGAATTAGAAAGGTAATGTGGGAAATATTGGGTCAAGAGAAGTTTTTCTTGGTTTTTACATGGCAAGGAGAGGAATATATTTAAATGTTGACAAAAAAGCATCTAATGGAGGGGTCAGGTTAGAAATGCAAGGGAAAGAAAGAAGAACCAGTGGAAGAAATTGAGAATGGGGAGTGGGGTAGAATTAAAAGCAAAGGCAAAAGAGTAGTCTTGGACAAGAGGATGGCAGCCAGCATCCTCCATCCATACCTGAGGAATGTGAGAGTGGCTGACAGAGAAAGGTAGGTGTCTTGGTTACTTTTCTCTCGTTGCTGAGACAAAACACCCAGTGCCCAAAATTAAGGAAGGAAAGGTTTATTTATCTCACAGTTTGTGGAGGTTTTAGTCTGTAGTCAGCTGGCTCCAAGGTAGGGTGGTGTGGCACAGGGCAACCTTCAGGGTGGCAGAAAACAGCAAAAGCAGCACAAGCACAGGGGTGGGGCAGGCAAGCATCTTTTTTTCCTTTATATTGTATATTGGCTATCTGCCCACACTCACACCATCTCTGTGCCCTCCTCTCTTTTTTTTGTCTTTGGAGACAGGGTCTCCTATGCAGATCAGGCTGGGCTTGAGCTCACTTTATAGCCCAGGCTGGTCTCCAACTTGCCACGATTCTCCTGCCTCAGCCTCCTGAGTGCTGGGATTACAGACGTGTGCCATCACGCTGGGCCTGTGCACTCTTTTACAAACTGAGAACAGTTTGGGGCCCCTGCTGAATCACTTGGTTGAACTTTTAAACATTTCAAGTCCATACAATGAACATCCTAGAGCAGCATGGGCACGTCCTTTTCACCCCGGAATGTAGAACTGCTGAGTCACTTAGTTAAGCTTCTAGACTCCGCAAGTTGACACAGTGTAGTATGAGTTTTGGGTAGGAAAAGGAGCAGGGTCAGTCTGGTGGGCCCTCTATTCTATGTGAAATATGGACAACAGAGAGTAAGAGGACAGCAGGTGGGTAAATAATGGTGAAGCCATTCTTGAGGTCACTACTGTCAGCCATCTGGCCTGTGTGCCTTTCTTTCCTCCTCAGCCAAAGCTGCTTCACGCCCAGTGCTCAGCCAGTACTCCCAGGGCTCAGGAGAAGAGGCAGGAGATGGAATTGGTCTTTCCATATACTGAACCAAATTCAGGCTTGTTATGGTTTATGTTGGTGTGTCCCTTCCAAAGCCTCATGCGACCATGGGGCAGGCTTTTAAAGTTTGATTATTATGGGTATGAGAGCTACACCCGCCCCAGGGTGGATAGTTTGCATATGTAAGGGAGAGGAAAAGGGTGCTTGAGGACATTCCTCCGCCATTCTGCCCTGTTGTGTGTGCTTGAAGCTTAGCTGTGTTCTGCTGTCCTGAGCTGCAGCTCTTTGCCATGTGCCACTCTGCCTTATAATCTGCCAAGTATGGACTGAAATTTCCACGAACTGTAAGCGAAATAAACCTTTCCTTCCTTAATTTTGGGCATCAGGTATTTGTCCCAGCAGCGAGAAAAAAGTAACCAAGACAAGGCTAAAGAGAGAAACAAGGCAGGCAGGAAGCAAGACCAAGGAACCAAGTTGGAAAACTAAAAGAAGAAAAGTATAAAACACAGTCATGGAGGTAGGGCAGCAGAAAGCAGAGAGGTCACTTATTGTGAAGGCTCCAGGTCCTGAGATCACTGGGCCAGAGATTCTCAATCACGCCTAAGAAAGTGGTAATGAGGGCTGGAAGCAAGAGAACTGAGGTCTCTCTTTCTGTGAACGCTGGCCTGACCAGGGGCAGAACTGATAATTAGATCAGCTGAGTTCCAAAGGGGCAAGAAGTAGAAACAGAGACCAGAAATGAGATAAAAAGATACAAGGGGCCCTAAAGGACAGATACAAGATAAAAGGATGCAGAGAGACATAAAACTCTCCTGCCAGTGAAAGGAACCTCCTCCCGCTTAGCTTTTTCTCCAGCCTTCTGACCAAACTAAAACACGGACTCTTCTAGGATTTCAGGCCTACTGGCTTTCAAACTGAACCAATACCACCAGTTTTCCTGGTCACCAGCTTGTTGGCTGCGTATATTGGGACCTCTCCGCTTCTACCATCACAAAAGCCAATTCCTTAAAACGTTGCTGGTTTTCGGGGATCCCTCCTGCTACTCTCCTTTGATCTTAAAACTGCAGCCACCGAATACCTCCCTGATGTTCACCAGGCCTGCTTGTCCCTTACAGCTTCTGTGCTAGCTGTGTTCTCTACCTGAAGGACTCTCCCCAGGAACCCCTAAGTAACGGCCACCTACCTTGAATCCTCCAAGCTGAACTCAAGCATCACATTCTCAGTGTAACCTACTGTGATCCCCCACTTCTAATTCCCCCTTATCCTCTGCGAATTGTTCCTTTTTAATAGCACAACTTAACAACTACTGTATATCCACATAGCGTCCCCTAATATTTTATTTTTCTCTTCCCACTAGAATGTAAATTTTTGCCTCTTTCGTTCACTGATACACCCCAAGCGCCTAAAGGAGAGTCTGGCACACACTAGGTGAAACGAATAAACCTTCGTAATGACACGTTGCGATGTGGTCAAGAGCAAAACTCTTTTAAAGAGAACTTTACCAGCGTTATCCCACACAGGTGGAAAACAGGAATTGCGACCTTTGCGCTGCTCTCTAGCTCCACCTAGAGGCATCTATGTAGACTGCGTTTAATTGTTTCTTTTCTAAGGCGGCCCCAAATTTATCTGGAACTACAAGGCCGCGTCTTAGTGGGTATATATCGGAAGGAAAGCAAAGAGCACAAACTCCGGAAAATAATTACAAACAACCGGAAATTCAGTGTCCCGGAAGCATCACTGCTAACCAATAGGCAACAAGATCTGGATCACGTGGTCCGTACTTAGCCTATCAAGCTCCAAATCGTCACTAAGTGCCTCCCCGTTCCGCTCCAGGCTTCCTTTCCCGTCAAGATGGCTACGCTGGCGGCGTCCACGAGTGCTCCTTCTGCCGCTTCAACCCCGGCCCCGGACCCGGCTGGAGCCCCTTCCCCTGCCCCAAGTCCTTCTCCGACGCCAGCTCCAGCGCCGGCCGCGGCTCCGACACCGACGTCGTCTTCAGATCCGGCGGCAGCGACGGCCTCGCCAGCGGCTGCTGGCCAGACCCCGGCCTCGGCGCCAGCCCCAGCGCAGCCCGCGGCGCCCGCGCTCTCGGGGCCGGCTCTCCCCGGGCCCTTCCCCGGCGGCCGCGTGGTCAGGCTGCACCCCGTCATTTTGGCCTCCATCGTGGACAGCTATGAGCGACGCAACGAGGGTGCTGCCCGCGTTATCGGAACCTTGCTGGGTGAGTGGTGGAGAAAATTACGTTCTTCTTTCCCACCTCTCATTTGTTTCGTCCTCGGGGCCCCGTCTTCTCTCCGCCATCCCTGTGGACTTTCCTGGTCTACTTTCCTAAGGCTCTGAGCCTGATCTTCTGTCCCTCGGACTCTTTTGTTACTTATTAGTGTAATAAAACCCCGTTCCCCCCGAGCTATCTCTCGATTTTCCATTAAGATACAAACATTTGTGTCTTAATGTTTTCTGTTCGTAAATCTATACGGTACTTAAGGTTGAAAAAGAAGGGGGGGGCTATATTCCAGATTTGAGAAATATATATGTTACAATAGGTTGTAGAACTGAAAAGCACTAAAGAGGTATTGTAGATAATAAATTCCTTTCTCTGGAACCGCCTGTCCCCTAAGTTCATTTCCACTCTGTCTTAGTGACAAGTTTTAAATACCTTTGTAAGTCCACTCTGTGTGTGCATCATCTCTCTTTCTTATTCTCGAACTTGTAAAAAGGTCTTACTGCAGTATGGAGGAGAGTTGGTGTATTGCAGAGGACAAAATATGTAGACAGAGCCACCAAAGATCAGCCATGTGCCCAGAGGCAAGTTACTTAAAGTCTAGTTCCTTTAGGGTCTGCTTTAAGAGAGTTTTTCTGAGATCTGAATTATTACAGAAAGCATCAGGTACAGCTGTTGATTGACATCTACCCCATCAGGCTACTCCCAGAACACACGGTCTCCCTTTACCTTTGACAGCCTGACATTTCACAGAAACTTAAATTGATTCATGTCTTCTAAATACTACCCTGTCTTTTCTCCAAGCAAGCCTTTGTATCCTCTACCACAGCTGTTGCTCTCCCTAATTTTCAGTTTCACCCCTCTTGTAGGTTCCTAGAAAAGTATTAAGCATCAGTTTTCCATGCCATACTTATATAACATTCTGTAACACCTCTGTCCTTAGCTTCTGTAACAAAAGATTTTTGCATGGTTGACTTGACAAATACTTAGACGGTGCTGTCAGATTTTCCTGATTCACCGGAGCTGTGTAACTAAAGAAGTAATTTTCTACCCAAAATTTTTGCTTGGTGCCCCTGTTATTATTACAGTGAGCTTGTCTGGTCAGCAGTAACCTAGATCCTCAGATCTCTTCCAAACTGAGTCGTGGTACAGTGCTCAGCGTTACACAGCATAATTTACAAAATAAAGCACAGACTCAGCTTGCTAGCAACTTACAATTTTCTCAGTTAAACATTAATTTGTGAAACGTATTTCATTGGGTTAATTGAATTGGTACCTTTATGAACCATAAAACTATTGGGTACTTAGAACCCAAAATTTGATCAAATGAACTGTACTGTAACTTCATAGTCAAAGTGTAAATATATATTTATGTGCAAATAGTTAGGAGTGCTGTGATAGAAGGGTATTGTAGCCGCATACAAATACCAAAGATCTATTTCAGAAGGTTGTTGGGAAAAGCCTCATAGGAAAGATGACATTTAAGCTGGGTGTTAAAGCCACTACAAGAGTGTGAGAGAACCTGGTAAGTCCACTGTCTGAAGAGGCGAGCATTACAGGAATATGGGAGAGAGGGGAAATGTGGCATAAGATGAACTAGCAACTTCAAGAGCCATAGAGATAATAGATAATAATAGACAAGTATGCAAAGTGCCACGCAGGAGGATTCCAGGGAGGTGTGAGGAGACAAAATGCCACTCTACCCAAGTTTGGAGCTGTTTGAGGAAGATACTGGAGCAGCAGGCGTCTCAGTCAAGACTAGAAATCAAAGGTTTCTGTGACTGCTTTATAGAGAGTAGTTAATGACAGGTATGAGCTATGCTTAGCTCGCAGACGGTGGGTGCTGCCTTAACAGTGATGAACTTGAGAAATGACAACAGAGTCGTGGATGACTTGATAGGGCTTGGTGTGATCACAAATGAGGATTAGAAGAAAGCACCAAGGATGAGCCCCGGTACTGAGGTGTGGAAAAGAAAGGGGATGTAGGGGTTGACTTCAGTTTGTGAAGTGTGTCTTCTGAGGTGCCTATTAAGTATGCCGGTCAGGCAGAAACGTCGTCAAGTAGAAAACTGAACAAGGAGTGTGAGACTGGGGTACAAGTGTGCCACTTAAGGAATTACACTATGGGAACATGGAAGGTAACTGAAACCATAAAATTTGATGAGATCACCTGAGCAGGAATTGGCAAGCTTCTGTCATGGACCAGACAGTAACTACTTTAAACTTTGTGTGCCTGGTCTCTCATAACTACTCAACTCTGCCTTTCTAGCAAGAAAGCAGCCATAAGTAATACATCAACAGTTGGGCATGTAAACTCTTACTAACAACAACACTTCTAGGTCAGGGCCTAGCCTAGAAAAGGAACATAGAGTAAAAAAATAAAACTAGGGGGCTGGGGATTTAGCTCAGCGGCAAAAGCGCCTGCCTGACAAGCGCAAGGTCATGAGTTCGGTTCCCGGTACCGGAGAAAAACCACAAAAAAAAAAAAAATAAATAAAACTAGGACAAAACCCTGAAAATCTGAGGATTCAGAGGAGGGGCCAATGAAGGTTAGAAAGAGGTAATATATATCCAGTGGATTTAGGGACATAGTTCCAGCTAAGAAAGCAGAAACTGCAGTGAGTTGGAATCGGACAGACAGTGGTTCAGGCAGCACAGTGGGCTATAGAGGAGTAGGAAGCGGATGACGCCTGGGGTGAGGAGTACCAGAAGATTGGAAGAGAGCGGAGAAGTCGAGATTACTGGTTTGGCGAGGTTAAGAAATGTAGTGGTAGTAAAGGCGTCCACTAGAAGAACAAAAGTTTGTGATAAAGGCTTACGTGTTGGTGCTTAAGGTTCATAGATACAGGCTTTGCATGATGGTAGAGTTTTGGCTATGTTAAAGGAAAGTATGGCTTCCACCCCCCGAAATGTGTTTAGCATGTGAGATTAGGGAACTGTTGGCAAAATCTGTGTACATTACGTTATAGGGAGAGAATCTAGAGGCTTTAAAAAAGGCCGTAGGGTGAAGGTGTGGGAAGGGTGGTGGTAGAAAGTAACAGACAGAAGGAAACTTCGAGAAGGAAGAGGAAGTTCTGTGTGGTAATAATGGGGAGAAGCAGCGGAGATCATGGCAGAATTGAGTTCTCTGGAGGGTCCTGGTTCCGTTGATGTTCAGTTGGAGCGAATGAGATTTGGTTCAGTGACTTGAGGGGACCTCCAAAAACATCTCGGAAGTATCTGGTGGCACTGGGAGCCCTAGGACTGAATAACACATGGACAGTTCTCTCTCTTTCGCAGGAACTGTTGACAAGCACTCAGTGGAGGTCACCAATTGCTTTTCCGTGCCACACAATGAGTCAGAAGATGAGGTGAGTGGGAAGCTGAGCTGCCCCTGTGTTTTATACCAGTCCTTTGTCAGGCTCTCCGCAAGGCCCCTCCTGCGCAGAAAGTTGTGTTTATGACTGAAGCTCCCACAAACAAGGAAATTCATACCCATATAATTCCAGCCTTTTCTGTTGGGGGTGGCCTCTGTCTTTCTTACCCAATATTTCTGTGGACTTTCGGCTTCTTAGCTACCTATACTGCCTTCCCTCTTAGGTGGCTGTTGACATGGAATTTGCTAAGAACATGTATGAGTTGCACAAAAAAGTCTCTCCAAATGAGCTCATCCTGGGCTGGTAAGTTGGGAAGGGGTGGGACTGCGTACGTCTCAGTTACTGCCAAGCTCTTTTGCCATCAGGCTGGAGCTTATCTTCCCCCTTTAGGAGATAGTATTGAAAGAGTATGCTTTCAAAGAGCCGGGAATTAAGTATGTTTTTCTGGCAGTTCTGATCCTTTGAGGTCAGAAGTACTCAGTTTGAACTAGCACTGTGACTGTGAGAGTCTTTTTTTGGTATCACATTGGTTACGAGACACCCACAGCACCATTATACTTGTTGTTGATGTCCCATGTAGACATCCACAGTTCCATTCCACTCTCCAGGTACGCCACAGGCCACGACATCACAGAGCACTCTGTGCTGATTCACGAGTACTACAGCCGGGAGGCGCCTAACCCCATTCACCTCACTGTGGACACGAGTCTCCAGAACGGCCGCATGAGCATCAAGGCCTATGTCAGGTAACCAGAGTCCTGGCGCATAGGGCATAAAACACTGTCTGCTGTGCCTGGATGATGTGCTGTCCCTCCCCCACTCCCAGTGCAGATTTATTGTTCAGTATGTAACTCACTACCTCTTCAGGAAGCACATTCCTCTCAAGAGCTATCGTTAGAAAGTTTCAGTCTGAAAAGAATCTGTGCCCATAGTTTCTACTCGCTGATTCTAGTTATACTGCAGGGGCTCGTTGCTCTTAACGAGTTTTAAACAGCAGCACTTTAGACATAGGAGCAAGCTCTGATGCTTCTTTTATGTCATCTTTTCTAGAATAGGCTGTCCTCACATAGAGCTTTATCATGATCACTACTTTTCTTAGTCACCCATTAGTAGCGTTCCTAGAACTTAGGACCCTTCTTACAGAGTAAAGGATCACCACCTTATGGATGAGGGGTTGAGACAGGTCTTGCTGCTGTGTATCAAGCTGGCCTAGAATTTGCAGTGATCTGCCTCAGCTGCCTGAGTGTGGGGATTATAGGCCAGAGCTACCCACCCCCAGCACTGTGCTTATTTTGAACACATCTATTGATCCAGGATTGAGTGTGGTTTTGATGACAGTAATATTAATTGTTGATACACTGAACTTGCGAGTAGTTAATGTGCCAATAAATGGAGGTTGATGGGAAAGGCTCTAATGGCTAAAAAAGAAGCTGCTGTAGGAACTGGAAAGATTCTTCTATTTACAATAAAAGCATTGAGTGTATCTCTTACGCTGTTTAACTTTGATGTTTCTGTGTCTGACAGTAACATGGCCAGTTAACTATTGTGCTGTTTATGTTCCACTAAGTTCTAGCCATTGCCTAAGTTCTTTGCCTTTGTAGCTGTAGACTCCTCCAAATCCAGTTGAAAATATAGTTGACATAGTAAAGGCAACGTTTTTAGTGAGGTTGTCTGTTGCACCCAATCTAGTCTTGCTAAGCAGGAATCTATTGTTTTTTCAGTGCTAATGAAACAGTCAGTCCCACAAAAGATCCGTTTCTTGTCTCCTTTCCGTGGGGGTGACTTTCTCAGCAGCCAGCTTCCCAAAAATCTGGTGTTCACTGATGTTCTATACTGTGTGTGTGGTAGTCCTCTGAAGGGACGGGGCCAGAGCCAGAGATTGAGTTTGGGGACCAAGAGTTTGGTGTGTGTAGTAAGTTGAGGACAGTGAGACCAAGCCTTTATGCTTACCTTGACTTTTCCCTCCCCAGCACTCTAATGGGTGTCCCAGGGAGGACCATGGGAGTGATGTTCACACCACTGACAGTGAAATATGCTTATTATGACACTGAGCGCATTGGAGGTAAGTAAGCTTCCTCTGCGTTCCTTGGACGGCTTAGGCTTTTTCCAAGGAGGAGGCTGTTGCTCTGCAACACGGATGGAGATCTTAGGCGGTTTACAGAGGAACATTGGTCTAAGGTTTGTGGTCACCAGAAGTCACACTTGTCCTCTTATTTGTTGGGTTTCATGAGATTATTTGAGAAATTGTTAGAAGAGGGAAAGGATCAGCACACATGTCCATTCATAGAAGACCAGAGTCATAGGCATACCAGAGTCGTAGGCGTACCAGATCAAGCTGTCAGAAGAAAGAAAAGTCAGTAGAACAGAGCTGTGTGTTTGCAGAAACTGAGTCGAGAAGAGATGGGAGGTTATCATTGATGCTGGCATGAATAATAAATGCCCTGTGTCTCCCACAGTTGACCTGATCATGAAGACCTGTTTTAGCCCAAACCGGGTGATCGGCCTCTCGAGTGACCTACAGCAAGTTGGGGGAGCATCAGCTCGCATCCAGGATGCCCTGAGCACTGTATTGCAATATGCAGAGGATGTGCTGGTGAGAGGGGGACAGGAAACACAAAGGGGGGACGTCATAGATCGCCACCCTGGGCCCACTGGGGGGATGTGCTGATGAAATGGTGGTACAGCGTGGTGGTGAGAGTGAATTATGCCTTGCTGGATCTTTGTTTTGGTGCGCAGTCCGGAAAGGTGTCAGCTGACAATACCGTGGGCCGCTTCTTGATGAGCCTTGTTAACCAAGTACCCAAGATAGTTCCTGAGGATTTTGAGACCATGCTCAATAGCAACATCAATGTGAGTACTGTTTCTGGGCTCTGGAGCCTGCCTCCTCCGCCTCAGCACAAAACTGGGCTTGTGAAGGAAGTTGGGAGTCGGGGGCTGGAGTACGATGAAGGAAACAAGGCTTTACCCTTGACCACTTCGTAATCTGGGTTGGGAGGAAGGAGTAGCTAGTACACATGTTTGAGGTCCGTTCTTCCTTGATTCCATTTTCTCAGGTACTGCTGATACTACTGTGACTTGTCTAGATTCAGGATAGAAAGAAATGCTAAAATTCACTTGTGATGAACACACAGTTTCTTATTTTTCCCATCCGTGTACCAGACCCCCTATATTCCACACGTGGATCACAGCTAAAGCACCACTAGACTATTAGTGTGTAGGTAGAGATGGAAAAGTTTGCTCAGACATTTCTTTCCTGTCTTCCGCCTTCAGCTCCTCGGTCTCTCCCAGCTGTCACTTATCTGCAACTGGTCTCTCACATCCACAGTCAAATGGAGCTGGCCATGACCAGCCTTTCTACTCCTTTTCCATCCAGCCTCTCACTTATTTATCCTTTGTCTTCCAGGACCTGCTGATGGTGACCTACCTGGCCAATCTCACACAGTCACAGATTGCTCTCAATGAGAAACTTGTAAACCTGTGAATGGATCCCAGCAGCACATCTACCAGTCCTGAGTCTCAACTGTAGGGCCCAGCACCAAGTGGAGGAGAAATGGTTTGTGATCTTGAGTCACAATGAAAGTTAGCTGCTTGTGACTCTAAATAAACAGTGTACCTTTTGTAAATGAATTCCATCTGACGTGAGTTTATTCCTGGGTAAAAGGAGAAAAGTTTTAGAGCTCACACAGAAACCATAGAGTGAACTCTGTTAAGTAGAAGCTCTCATATGTCGGACAGGACTTGTCATCACCAGACGTGCCTGCAGCCCAAGCCGCATTAAGCTCACCCAGACCCACACCAAGCGGCCTACTCCGCACACAAGTTTTGTAAGTGGCACTTTCTCCTTGCTCTTGTGCCTGTGATCTGTGTAAGTTAGACCTCCACAATTTTTTTATTCTTGTCATTTCTCTATAGCATCTTAATGGATTATGGTACAGAGCCAGCAACATTGTTGCCTTATGCACAATGTTGAAGGGCTGGAAGTGTGGTCGTAAGTGAGAGAGAAAAAAAGAGGATGGACACAGACCTCAGTCCTGAGACCGGTGAGTCTGTGGTGGTAGAAAGACAGCTTTCTCCATGGTGAGGAATAACTAGAAAAGTACCCACTGATAGTGTCATCCATTTCTTAATGGATTGTCTGGTTTGCTCAGGAAATGAAAATGAGAATCCATAGAGGAAAATAATTGAGAACTAGATTGTTAATTTGACTTCACAAAAGAGTGCATGGACTAGTAGGGTAGAGCTGTTGGCCACTTTGGCTCAGGGAGAGAGTATTAGAATCTGTGGGTGAAAGTTTGAAATGATTTCTCCAAAACCTCAGAAAATGCTCAGGAATTGTCCATAACTCAAGAGCAGCCTTGGGCTGTGTTGTGATCTTAAATGGCTGAGTCGAGACACATAGAGATGACACTTCTCAGAGACACTGCAGGGTTCAGTGTTCCCCTAGGTAACTTCAAACATCCATTTGAGTCGATACCCTGGAATTGTACATGAGCCCTGTGAGATGTCGTAGAATAAGAGAAGTCATTCAGGTAGTGAGGGGTTTATTATATAACGGAGTGAAAGGTAAGTGGAGGCAACTGGGAATCAAGAAGGCCTGGGTCCTCGTTTTGGTTCTAAGATACATAACTAGGAGAGAAATTCTAGGAGTCAGAAGACGTAGATCTTAACACATAGCCCACTAGGGTGTCCTGAAGGATCAATGAATAAATGTCAGTTTTACACTTGTAGAGAATAGTGCCTCGTATATAATAAACATAAATAAGTGGTAGGTACTTTAAGGATAAACACAACAGCAACAGCAACTCAGCCCTGGATCTCGTTTTGGTTCTGAAATGTGTAACCTTAAGAAATACTGTACAATGAATTGTATCAATGATAATGATATTTTCTTACATGTAGGGAAATGTAATATGTTACCTGCAAAATAATGGTTATACCGAATTCAGAGATTAAAAATAGAACATGGGATGGGAAGAGGGTTGATGGTAATTAAAATGTTTCTGTGGTTTTATATTTTGTGTGTGCACAGTTACTGTCATCTGTAGTCTTAAAAAGCATGTTAAAATTTCAGAGTTAATATAGGAGTATATGCAATATATTCAAAGTGAGGTAATGAGATGTGGAATAAGAAAAAGGAACAAAATTTTTCTAAAAAATTGAGAAAGGAACATAGAAAAGGTACATGAAGCAAAGATAAGATGGCAAAACAGTTAAACTACATCAATAACTGCAGGAAATGTGAAAGTATTAAATAGCTGGAGGAGGAGAAACATTGAGTATCAAGGCTAAACAAACCCTAGCCATATGCTGTTTACAGGCACATTTAAAACAAGGGCACAACTTGTCCTTGAAGCTGTGAGTAACTATAGGAGTGAATTTTAATAACAGTGCTAGATTGAACAGGCCAGTCTCAGAAAACTGCACATTATGGTACTCATAAAAGAAAAATAAGTGAAGCTAAAATGTTACTTAGACATATGTACATACACAGTGATTATTATTACCTATAGTAATAGCAAGTTAGTATAGGTAATAACCAAATAAGTTATTTGGTTATAACTCTCAGGGGCTGAGAGTACAGCTCAGTGGCATAGCACTTGCTAAACATGTACAATGCCCTGGGCTGGTCTTCAGCACTGCAAAAAAGAAAGGAAAAAACTTCTATAGCAGTTAGGAATAAAGCTACCATAATACTTTTTTTAAAGACTTTATTTAATATATGTAGCTTTCTCACTAACAGTGTGCCTAGGGCCAGCCAACAGCACCATTACACAGGCTTAAGTGCAGCTTATCCAGCCTGTGTCTGCTCCAGAAGGCACCCCAGAGCATTCTTGTGCAGGAGCACTGGGCAACATGCTTGGCAACTACTTTAAGCAGTAAAGTCAACACAGAAATGGAAAAACAGCACGAAATAAACCATGAAAAGAATACTTGTCATGAGAGCCAAAATAAAAAAGGTTATCGGGAGCAGAGGGGATGTCGATACCCTGGTGTCTTCGTCTTCTGTTTGCTGGCTGCTTGAGGTGAACAGGCCTTCTTCAGCGCTTGCTACCACCGTGATGTTCTTTGCTGCCACCAGTCCAAGCAAAGAGGTCAGACAGCAGGGACTGAGCCGTGAGCAAAATAAAACTTCCATCCTTTTACATTGGCCAGCTCAGGTATTTTGTCATAGCAGAAACCAGCACAACTAAAAATTCATGGCCGTTTACCTTAAAGGTGAAAGGAACCAGGGAAGTAGAGTAAGTAAATGTAAGTTACTGATAATGATCCAGTCTGAACTTGTGTAGTGGGTTTGTGAATATGAATGAAGAACCAAACATGAGCTAAGGTGGCAGTGTGGTATTATTTATCATTAGCTTTGTTACCATAGTCTTTAAATAAGAGATACTGAAAATTGCAAAGTTGGAAGGCCTTTTTTTTTTTTTTTTTTTTTTTTTTTGTGGTACCGGGGATCGAACTCAGGAACTTGTGCTTGCCGGGCAGGCGCTTTTGCCACTGAGCTATATCCCCAGCCCCTGGAAGGACTTTTAAAAATTATTGTGACCTCGTTGATGTGTGGAACAAAACTTTAAAATGATGATGAAAAACATAAAAAAGGCATGGAATGTTCTTGGTTAAGAGCCAACATTATCCTGAAAGTTGTCAAGTCTCCCTAGTTAAATTGCATATTTGTCATAATTCTAATAAAATATGATACTTTTTGTTTGTTTTGTTTTTTTGTCTTTTTGATACAAAGTCCCACTGTGCAGTTCAGGCTGACCTTGAGCTCACTTTGTAGCCTAGGATGGTCTCGAACTCCAACGATCCTTCTGCCTCAGCCTACCAAGTGCTGGAATTACAGGTGTGCGCAACGATGCCCAGCCATGATGTTCTTTTGATCTGGGCAAGCTGCTTCTGTTTATGCAAGAAAATAAAAATGATTCAAAAACAGCATAGAACTATAACCACTTTCTTAACAGCCAATAACCTAATACATAGGCAAAGTATATAAAATTCATATGCATGCACAAAGAAGCACAACATGAAAAGATGCTCACTGGTTATAAATTAAAATAACTGGCCAGTCCTATCAGATTTGCTAATTTTCAAAATTGGTACCACTGTGAATGCCAGAGAAAGGGAACATTACAGAGGCATACGCTACTGGTAGATGTGTACCCTTGTCTATGGGACATGGTGTATTTGTTGATACTATAAATGTACCTTGGCCTAGGAATTCTAATGTTAAATATATGCACAGATAAACTGGCATGACTATAATACATAAATAATCATTGCAGTATCTGGTTATAAAAACAGATTTTAATCAGCCTGAATATTACCAGAAAACATTTAACAATTGTATGGTCTGTCTATAAAATAATACTATGTAGTTAAGAAAAATGAGACTGTATCTGGATGTATTAATATGGATAGTTCAAGATATAATTGAAAAAAGGCAGGAGAAAATGGTGTCTGTATTTTACTGTATGTACAAGAAAATGATAATAATACCTAGGATATTCAACAGTATATCCAAGCAACCTAGCAGCAGCTGTCTTGAGACAAGGCACTGGTTAAGACACAAGGAATGAAGCGATTTATGCCACGTTTATGGAATACGTTTCAAAACATAAAATGTGGAAAAACAAAGTAATGTCTGTTTACATCATAAATAGGACGAAATACAATGATAAGTTCAGGGAACTGAGAGCTTCAGGGAAGGAGGAACGGAGCACTGTTGGCAAAGGACGCATCAGTGGTTTTAACGACATGATTTTTCTTTAGAGAGTAGGACAGTAGGAGTTATATAGGACAACATTAAACTTTTACTGTGTACTGGGTACACAGATATTTTTATATTATTTTCCATTCATTTTCTGTAAACATAATTCATTTTAAAATTAGGGGGTTAGCCTTTGTCTTATGTAAAGATATGAATACTAATTTACCATGTGTTCAGAAAATTAAGCTACCACGTATTTTTCCATCTGCATGTAGACAGGCTCAAAAATGAACCTGAGTGTCAGCCAGTACCTTTCTCTTTCCAGCGCTGCATCCCCTGCTGCATCCCCTGCCACCCCTTCGCTTCACATCTTTGTCCTGCCTCGGCCGCTCCCAGTTCAACCTCCAGAGTAGCATTTCAGGGCCCAAGCGTAGAATCCAACCCTCCCCTCATACCCTAGGTGCTGCTCAGAGCAGCTGACCCTTTTCTGAGAAATGTGGAACAGAAGAAACGCGACCCTCACCATCTCAGCACACCTGACTGGTTCACGCCATGGGCAGCCCAAATTCTGGAATGGAGACCATGAACTGCTGTAGGAGCTCAAGAGGAGTCTGGGAAGGTGAAATGAGACTTCTGGAATAGAGCTTAAAGGGTGGGCAGGAGCACAGCAACACCAGGATACTGTACGAGAACTGCCAAAAGTTTCTGAAGAGAAGGTCAGGATGACCATGCCACTGGCCACCGGAACGATGGATGAAGTAGGCCAGGTGAGCAGTGAAGGCGTCCTGAGTTAGGGTCGTGAGAAGCTCAGCACATGGGAGGCAGGAACTTGAGAAACAAGGGCCCAGCACAGGTGAGACAGATGCCTGCCACCTGCCCTGCCTAGTGTGTGCTACACTGTTCCCACTCCATGCTGACCAGA